ATTAAAAGTTAGAGCTCAGCACTTGGGAAATGGAGGCAAGAGAATGCAAATTCAAGGGCAGCCTGAGTTATATAGCAAAACCTTTTCTCAAAAACACCAAAAAAAAAAAAAAGTTAGAGCTAAAAGATTACAGGATACAGATCAATATGTAAGAAACAACTGTTTCTATATAGCAACAATGCAAAATAGAAAACAAAAGTAAGAAATAATTACATTTACACTAGCATCAAGAAGAGTAACATACTTAGGAATAAATGTAGCACAAGAAGTGAAAAACTCATACTCTGAAAATTATAAAACATTATTGAAAGAAATTAAAGTATAAATAAGTAGAACTATATTTCATGATCCTGATTAGGAAGATATGATGTCATCAAGATGGCAATCATCTCTAGATTAATCTTCAGATTCTACACAATCCCTATCAAAATCCCAGCTGGATCTTGCAGACATTCACAAGATGACCCTAAAGTTTATATGAAAATATAAGAGACCCCAAAAAATAAATGCAAAAAAAAGTTCAAAAATTTATACTTCCCTACTTCAGAACTTTTTACAAAGTCACGACAATCAAGATAGTAATATAAGTACAGACATAGATCAATGGAATAGAATTGAGAACGCCCCCCCCCCAAAAAAAGCCTTCATATTTATAATTAATTGAGGTTCAACAAAAATACCAAGAAAAGTCAATGAAGAAAAAAACAGTTTTGCCTGGAAGGCTGAGTACACATTTGTATACTCAGTGTGTATGCATGTGAGTAGTCTTTGTAATGAACTGGGCTCAGACACCTGGACATCCACTTGCAAAACAAGTAAGTTGAACACCAAATTCATGCCGTATACAAAATTCACTCTCAAAATAGAACAAAGACCTAAACATGACAGCAAAAATAATAAAAGTTTTCAAGGAAAACACAAATCTTTATAATCTTGGATTAGGCAATGGTTTCTTAGGTATAAAAGCAAAAGCACAAGTAACAAAAGAAAAAAAATAGATGAACTGAACCTCATCAAAATTTAAAACTTTCCTTTAAACTACACTATCTAGAAGGTGAAAAGACAATCCATGGAATGGGAGAGAACTTGACAAATCTTCTATCTGATCAAGAACTTGTGCCAGAATATATTAAGAACTCTTACAACTCAACAATCAAACACCAGTAATTCAATTTAAAAATAGACAAAAGGTCTGACTAGACATTTCTCCAAAGAAGATAAACAAACGGCCAATAAGTGCATGAGAAGACGTTCAACATCGTTAGCCATCAGGGCAGCACGAATCAAACCACAAAGACATATCACCTCATCCCCACCAATGAGATACACTTCATCCCCACCAATATCACCTCATCCCCACCAATGTCACCTCTTCCCCACCAATGTCACCTCATTCCCACCAATGATGGCAAAAAGACATAGGATAGTAAGTGCTGGTAAGAATGGAGAGGAAACTGGAACACTTATATACTCTTGGGAGAATACAAAATGATGTAGCCCTTCTTGAAAACAGTCCCACCAGCTCCTCAAAAGGTTAAACAGAGTAACCATTTGGTCCTCCAATTCCACTCCTCAGGATACATCAAAGAGAAATAAAAACAAATCCACACAACAGCATTAATTATAGTAACTGAAGCATGGGAACAACTCAAATGTCCATCAACTGACAAATGGATAAATAAAATGTGGTATATGCACACAATGGATTATTTGGCAATAAACATTAAAGCGATACATGCTAGACTGAAAACACTGTGCTAAGTGAAAACAGCCGGTCATAAAGGAACATGCACTATGATACATTTATATGAAATGGCCAGAGTGGGCAAATCCATAGAGACAGAATACAGATTAGACGTTGCCTAGCATGGGGAGGATCAGAAAGTAACTGCTAACGGGTTTAGAGTTTCTTTTCAGGGTGAAGACAATGTTCTAAATTCATGGTGACAGCTGCACAATTCTGTGAATATACTAAAAACCACTAATTATACACTTAAAGTAGGTGAATTGTGATATATAAATTATGTCTCAATAAAGCTGTTATTTAAATTTTTTTTAAAAAAACAAGAACTGTCCCCAAAATGGAAAATGATACCTCACTGGAAATAATGTTAAGTAAAGGCCTTCTGTTGGAGATGTTCCTCTAAGATGATTCCCCATAGCAGTCGAAGGACTGACACACTTTAACAGTCTTTGGGTTCCCCAAAGCATCTGGTTCTAGGTCCAGTAGAGACACTGTATTTTCAATATGCTTTCCAAAGTATTCTAAAATATGTCCAGAATTGGGAACCAATGGACCAGTAAGGCTCTCCATACTCAGTGATTTTATGATTCTCTATAAAAGATCTATCTCTTCTTCAGGTATCTGTCTTGTATTTTATACTCATCCAAAAATCTCAAGTCTGTTAATGGATTCACCTCCCTAAATGAAGAGTCTGAGTGTAGAGAGAGGCAGCCTCATCCAATGGACCGGAGCCCTGATCCGTTACTCTTATGTGTGCCTTTTACTCAAGCTACTTCTCTCTTTTGGGAAAGAGCAGGTTTGAAAAAAAATAAGTAAATAAAAGATCATATATATTTTCTAAAACTGTATTCTCAAACTGGACCATACTGGAGAGTCCCTTTTTTCCTGAAAATTTTGCAATTTAATAAATCTTTGTGTTTAAAATGCAGGTATATTGTAGAATCAAATGCAAATTTTCCTTTTTTAAAAGATAAAACCCAAAAATTGCAAAGAAATTCTGAATTTGCCATAGAAACTACTTTGGACTAAGGTATCCAGGGTTATTTGGACATCATGCAGCTAGCAGATGTACCCTGGTTGCTTATCTGAGCATATCCAGGTCACTGGTCCATGAAGAAGGCTTGGGTAAGCCTTCCAGAGGCCTTGGACTATCACTAAAGAGAATTTGTTCCCCTAGATTTACAAAATCCCTCTTAGATCCAGTGCTCTGGTTTTTGGGCTATCCTTTTTTCAACTAATTTCTCAAAACCACTTGTGATAACTTCACTCAGAGAAGAAACATCAAAAGAATGGAATTATAGTATCATCTCTGACACAGAATTACATAAATCTACATCAGTTTCCTCAGTACTAAAACAGAAGAATAGACGAAGGTGAACTTAAGGCCCTTTCTTGCTTTTAAACTCTACACTCACAATATTTGTCAATACTTAAGCTATGCACTGCAAATTACAAAGGCAAAAACAGAAGCCATAAACATGTTTTTGTTGTTTGCTGGTTCTGGGGATTGAACTTGGGGCCTCCTAACAAGCACCCTACCACTTGAATCATGCTCCACTTTTTTTCCAGAGTAGCTGGAATTATAGTGATTCACCACCATTCCCAGGTTGTTTTTCAGATAGGTTCTTATGAATTTTTTACCAGGGCTGACCTTGAACCACGATCCTTCTATCACCTCCTCAGTAGCTGGGACTATAGGCATGTACCAGTTATCCTTTTCATCAGTGTTCTCTCTCGCACCACCCTAGCTCAAATTCCCTTCTCCCTTCCAAGATTTATGCAACAAGTCTCAATTCTGGTCTGAAGTTTCTCCTCTACCCATTGTATTAACCACATTTCTGTTAGATGATTCTTTCTCTGTTAGTCCAGCACTCCACAATCTTGTCCCAATGTATCTTAACCTTTTCTAGACTTTTCTTGTGTTAACTCACATTTCAGCAAGTGTGTCAAGTGCCCTCTTCTGCAACACAGCTTCTTCAAATTTGCTTGTCATTCTCCTACCTGAAATACCCTGTGCCATACTTTCCACTTTTGTTTTATTCTTCAAGAATGAGTACAAACCTCACCTTCACTACAGGTTTCTCTGACTCCCTCTTTAAGTCCCTGGGGCATACAATCTGTAATAAATCCGTGACATCGGCACATGCTTCCCTCCACTGGGCAGATTTAAGACAGGAGAGGTCTAAGGGCTTTGCCTTGCCTTCTCCAGGTAAGCATCTCGACTTTAACTATGAGGTAAACACACAATTCCCCACATCCAAAGGGGCCATATATAACTTACAAACTTTTTAAAACCCAAGTAATAGCTTATGCACAATTATTAGAAGCTTTAAAAAAATCCACCTTACTCTCATCAACAGCACTTTTACAGCTATGTTCTAAAATCTAACGTAATTCTTTGGGTTTCGGTTAATACTGTCCCTTTAAACAGGGGTGGGAGAAGCAAAGTTCTCAAAGTAAGTAATCAAAACTTTATTACACAACTTTAGCAAGACAAAAGATTTCCAGAAAACAAAACTAAGAACATAGTTTTAAACACTAACTAAGCCTCTTAGAGTATCACAGCAAACTTGAATTTGGGAAAGGAAGAACCATATCTGATCAGAATCATTTAAACAAAATAGCACGTTTTGCCAACAGTCAAGCAAAACCCACAGCTTTTACATAAACTGCGCGTGTTCTGACAAGAACCACCACCTCTTGTCCCTAATGGTAGGTATTCCTGCTTCAATTCCAGAAACATTTTATATGAAATAGAGTTTCAGTCCTGCTTAACAAGGACACTTAATCTGGTCTTCACCCTTCTGACAATGACACAGAGACAATGTGGATAAAGTCCACATTTGTCATTTTCACTACCAAAAAAAGTCTCTTAAAAAGCCAAGAAACTCTGTCCTAACCAGTGCCATGGCAAAGTGTTAGTAAATACTAGAAAACTGATTGCAGGCATGAAGTGAAGAAAATGTTGTCAATATCTCTTTAAATTGAAGTAGAAATATTTCAGCCAAATCCTAGAGATTTTCATTAATTCAAAGTAGTCTGAAAGTAAGACTACAATTTAAAATATTATGCCACATAGAGTTCTACTTATTCCACGGTAAAAAAGGAAAAGAAGGATTGAAAAACTCACATTTGACAAATCTGTTAAGCAACTGTCAGAGCCAATTTTTTCCCCAAATATCGATCATGTAAGCAACTGTCAGAGCCAATTTTTTCCCCAAATATCGATCATCCAAAGCAACCCTGTAGTACTCACATGCAAAGCAGAGGGGTCGGGCAGGAATTCAGCATCCTCTCCAAAGATAAAATCGGGGGGCAGCTCTGGATATTGAGCATTGAAAATAATATCCCCTGAAATAAAAGAAAACAAAAGGATCTTACTTCCTTGCTAATGTACAATCAGTCTGACGAATGCATCAGGAAAATTTAAAGAAACTTTATTCAGCTTAAGAAATTAATCTGAAAAGTCTGTCTGCATGATTAATTCTTCAAATAAAAGAACTGTTATTCTCTTTCAAATTAATATCTACAGCAAGCAGTGAGAAAAAATTAGAATATACTGTGAATGTAAGTATCCAAGTAGAAAGGTAGAAGAAGCCCCATCCAAAGTACATTCAGAGGATTTTCATAGGAAATACTTCTATTCAATCACTGTCTGCTAATTCAGAAGCCTTGGTGAAGAATGATTCTGCATATAAATAGTCCTTGCCTCACAAAAAGTAAACATACACACCTTTGGTGAGGTTGGAAGAACATTCAGGTTGACATCAAAAAGTCTAACATATACCCACAGGTCCCCTAATTACTTCTTAGCTCAGAAATCTTGGGCAATTTTCATTTCTTTACACATCAGTTTTTTCATCAGTAAACAAAGAGAGGTACAGTGAACTGACATCACAGATTTTCCTGAGTGAAGAAAAGGAGACAGAATGCCCAGCATAGCGTGTGGCATACAGTAAGTGCTCATCAAGTGACACAGGAGCCATCAGAGTGCACACCTGTAATCCTGGCTACTGGAGAGGAACAGATTGGGAGGATCATGGCTCAAGGCCAGCCCCGACAAAATGTTAGTGAAACCCTGTCCCAGCAACTGGGTGTGGAGGCACGTACCTGTGATCCCATCTTGCAGGAGGCATAGGTAGAAAGATCAAGGTCTAAGGCTGGCATGAACAAAAATGAGAAATCTTATTGGGGAGATGAAGAGGGCAGACTAAAGCAAAAAGACTGGTGGCATGGCTCAAATGGAAGAGCGCACTTGCCTAGTAAGTGTAATGCACTGAGTTCAAACCCCACTACTGCCCCCTCCCAGAAAAAGTGACACAGGAGTACTATTGTTGGTGGTAGTCCTCTTAAACATAACACAAACTTCAGTTTCATGAGGAAATTTGTGTTGTAGGTTCTCCTATGTATCTTTTCTGTCTCCTCTAGCTCCCTTTTCTCCTCTGATTATCCAAAGATTGAGTCTTCATAATTTTCCTAATACTAATGAGCAAGTTAGTGTATCAACAACCTAATGCAGATTAGGCTGCAGCGTGTGAGGCTGTGTATGTGTGTACATGCACATGCGTCTGCACACAAAGCAGTTTTGTCAGTCCAATCATTTTTATTGTTCAAATGATAAGATGTATGTAACTGTATCCAAACTTAAACATTCAGATTTCAGGTCTCACCTGAGCCCTTAAATCTCTGTGAGAGTTGGCATTTCAATGTCAGACACAGAGAACATAAAACCATGGTCCCAATGTCCTCATGCCCCCCTCCTCTAGCTATTCCCTAATAACCCATGATGAAAGTTCAATGTCATCTCTATTCTGACACACACCCTTTACACCTTAGGAAACAAGTCACCTCAACAGTTCCTCCATGATGTCCTTGTAATGGATTTTCCCTACTGCTACCAGCTCCATCCAGGCCTGGCTCACCCAGGGCCTCCATTCTTATTTTCACTTAAGACCCAGTTGAATTTTGTTCTAAGCCCTGTGCTAGACACTGGACCAGGGGCTGAAGAACTGACAGAAGGGAAGAACTCAATCATACCCTCTTAACTGGTATCCCAGTATCAGCTGCCCTCCAGATCATAATTTACACGCCATCACCAAACAAGTCTTCTTAAAGTACTGTGTAGCCCCAAAACTTCCTAACTCAGAAAACCTCAATGCTTCTCTAAGATGAAATGGAGAAAAAGCAAACTTTTCAAACGGTACTATTTATCCACCCTTCCCTTCATCTACCAGCCAACCTCCTATTCAGCAACATGATCTGCCTGATACCCTCCAAATACCATGATACCCATGTAAAAGGCTCTCTCCCCAGACTCAGCTCTCAGTGCTTTATGCACCCACTCGCAACACCTTCCCTAACAAACCCTGATGGTTGCTGTTGCTGAACTTCATCAATACCTTCTGGCTATGCCGCCTGCTTGAGTGCTTCATCATAAACAGTCTTACATTGCATCATTACTCAAACTGAATGGTTGAGGTATGAGTTTGGATTCCCACTACCTTCCTCGTCAATAGTCTCTTATGCTCATTCCATATATTAAAAAGAACGTCGCTGGAGGTTAATGGATTCTCAAATATTTTGGCTTCAGAATCACTTTGCTCTCTTAAAGTTACTAAAGAGCTTCTGTTTATGTGGATTATATTTATTTATATGTATCCCATTCAAGTTTTAAATGGATAAGTTTGTAAATATGTACTTATCAACTCATTTAAATATCTAACCATCCCAATAGGTAGTGAAATAAATAACTATGTTCAGGAATAATAAAACAGTTAAGTATAGTATTGTTTTACATATTCTCTATTACATTTAATGTATGGCTTAATAAAAGGCAACTACTTTCTTAAAAAATAAATAGTCCTTCCTAGCTCCTCTGAAGGTGAAGATTGGGAGAACTGCAGTTCAGGCCAGCCCAGGCAAAAGGTTCCCAAGAACCCATCTCGACCAGTACTCGGGAAAGGTGGTACACACCTCTAATCCCAGTTACATGAGAAGTACAAAATAGGAGCACTGTGGTCCAGGCCAGCCTCGTCACAAATGTGAGTCCCTATCTCAAAAATAAGTAAAGCAAAAAGGGCTAGGAGAGTAGCTCAAGTGGTAGAGCACCTGCCTAGCAAGCAGGCCCCTGCCTAGGCCCTGAGCTCAATCCCTAACCCTACCAAAATAATAATAAATAGTCTTATATTGTCTTATGTCTCTATTAATTTTAAAAAAAGTACAATAAGCACGATCTACCAATGAGGCACTGTGATACACACTGTGTCAATATAAAGATATTTATCCTCAAGTTACTTATGTTTAGCGAGAGAGGTAAGACACACACATAGACCACAGATACACAGCACTACAAGGTGGGTACATATATTTGATCATCCTAAACATATTTTAAGCATCCAGAGAACAGATGTGTTCTTATAGTCACGTCATGTCTCTAACACGGTAAAATGCAGCACGTAGAGAATGTATTTGTGAAATGCTCAAAACATGAAAGAAGTCCTATTCTTTGCATCAAATATCTAAGTACTAGAAAATCTACAGTAAAGAACAAAGCATAGCAAAGTTACTCCCAGAATTAAGTTACCAAAAGCACCACAAACACTACCTCTTCTTCACCCTTCACTGTCATCATCTCAGATTTGCAACTGTATCTACTATGAATTATAAACTTCAAAATTTCTAACTATAAGGCTAAAAAGCACTATTAGAGATGTAAAATGTCCTGATTACTCATTCTATTCAAATATGCCCAGCAAGCATGATTCTTTAAGAAATTCCATATGACTTTTTATCCATATGATTCTTCAGAAATGTTTTTAAAAGTCCTTTAGCTTACTTTAATTACTTTTGGGGAAAAAAATTCATAGTTACTAAAGTTTTGGGAAAAGCCAAGCTGGAATCCATTGTGTATTGATGTTCAAATAATAATATGCTAAGTTCCAATGGAAGAAATTTTATCCCATTACTTGGTACAAGAAAACAAAAATCAGTATTTTCAAGTTCATAAGGGAGTACTGTCAATAATAATTATTTCCAAAAAAGTAAACATTAAAACTCTGTCTCAAATCTACTATTTTTTATTCTGTTCAGTATTATACTAGAGGCTCTAGCTAGGGCAAGAAAAAATAAAATAAAAGACATTTACATGGGGAAAAAAATTAAAACTACCTCTATCCACAAGTGATATGGTCTTACATAAAGAAAATCCTAATAAATCAACAAAAATATGATACGAACTAATAAACAGTTTCAGCAAGATTGAGAGACACAAAATAAGTGTACAAAATTCAACTGCATTTCTGTACACTAGCAATGAATAATCCAAAAATGAAATCAAGACAATTCCACTTACATAACAATAGCATCAAAAAGAACAACCTACTTAAGAATAAATTTAACAAAAGAAGGATAACAGTTATATGTTGAAAACCACACAACATTACTGAAAGTAGCTACAGAATGCCTAAATATATGGGAAGACATCTCATACCCACGTATAAGAACGCCTAATACCACTAAGTGGCAATTCTACCCAAACGAATATACAGATTTTACACAATCTCAACAGGATTCTTTGCAGAAATTAGCCAATCTGAAAAGTCATATGGAAATGCAAGGTATCCAAATTAGCAAATGGGATCTGGAGGGGTTGGGGGTGAGAGGAGAGAGAGAGAGAGAGAACAAAAATAAAGGATTCATATTTCTCAATTCCAGAAGTGCTACAGTAATGAAAACAGTGTGGTGGTGCTGGTATAAGGACAGACACAAAAATCAGTGGAATAGAACTCTGATAAATAAATAAATTTTCACTACCTAGAAAGTGAAAACACAATCCACAAAATGGGAGAAAGTTTGGCAAATCATGTATCTGATAAAGGACTTGTATGCAGAATATATTTTTTAAAAACCATTACAACTTAACAATAAAAAGCAACCCAATTTTTAAATAGGTGAAAAGTGTTAACAGAGGTTCTGCCCAAGAAGATACACAAATGGCCAATAAGCACTTGAAGGGATGCTCAATGTCATTGTCATTGGGAGGTACAATCGAGATGCCAATGGAAACCACTTCGCACTCACTAGGATGGCCACAATCGAAGAGACAGACAATAAGGATACTGGGGAAGAAGTGAGAGAACCATAAAACACTGTTAGTGGGAATGCAAAATGATGCAGCTACTTGTGAAAACGGCCTGGAGTTCCTCAAAGTTAAACAGCAGAGTTATCATTTGACTTACAATTCCACTCTTTGGTATAGAGAACCAAAAACATGTCTACACAAAGACTGATACATGAACTTCTGCAGCAGCATTATTCACAAGAGCAGAAAAAGAAACAAGTAATGTCCATCA